TGGAACAGTGTTGTAAATACCACTGATTTGTAGTCGTGTCCTCTTTTGGAAGACCAAACAAAGTAGTTTCGCTTTCACAACGAAGCACACAGCGTCTCCACGACATGGCGGCAGTTTCAACAATACTACAGTGAGAATAAAAGTTATGCCTTCTTTCTTTGCGTGAACATTTCGGCGGTGTTATGCAAATCTTCGCACATCGTGACGTAGACATGTGGGGTGTGTTAGAACGAGCCGTTTTAGGTAGGTGTGGCTGACTCTTAACTTTTATAAAGAATATCTCTTTGGTTTTGAGACTTTAGTGTTTGCAACTTTACAGATCGTCTTTATGCACCAAGAGCTTGTAACACTCCAAAGAGAAAGGAAAAATTGAAATCGCATCATATGACCCCTTTAAGTAAAACTATTTTATTTGTAAAACTATTAAACTATTAGTAAAACTATTTTACTTGTTAGTTCAATATATAGCTTATTTTATGTCGTGATTACCAGCAAAATATGCACTTTGTACTTTGGAGGTCTACATGAAATTGTAAGGAGTAAATTATGATTTTTTTTTCCATTCGCAAGTATCTGACATTCTTGTACTCTTCTACTCAGGTCGAAGCTTGGATGTTCAACAGCTATTTAAAAAAACATACTGTACAGTATTAGGATCAACTGTTGCTGTTATTGTACCTTTTTGGCGATCTCTATGTGATAGTCTCTCTCTACCTCATCCAGAAGTCGATTCTTACAGCTGGAGTACAGCATCCTTTCTTTGATGCTACAGCTATACCCAGGCATGGAGTAGATGAAAACTGGTCCACATATTCAAACACAAACATAGCAAACATTAGCTTTGAAGAACAAATCTCATTACTAATACTGAGAAGCCAACTCGGCATACTGTGATACTAGCAGAATAGTTACAGTAATATTTTGGTACTAACCTACAGCTTCCAGCGCCTGTCCTTGATGGGCGTGTTTGTACAGGAATAAGTGGTATCGTGGGGCATCAGTGGGGATTCTGCTCGGCAGATCTTTGGTCTCTGTAGGACTAGTGTGCACCAGCTCTATTGTCTCTCGTTCGGTGTCCAGCCGCTTAAAGATGATACAGTAAAAAGTGCTTTGTTATTGGGTTTATGGAGATTATGTGGAGTGCGCAGCAGGCATAATATTCTATGTGATCATGTAAAATTGTTTAACTCTTATTCAAAATGTTCAGTAAGGTCAGTAAGATTTTTTTTAAAGAAATTAATACTTTTATTCAGCAAGGATGCCTTTACAATGCTACCTAACAATTCTGTTTCAAATAAATGCTGTTTTGTTTTTTGTTTTTACTTTATATTTATCAAGGAATCCTAAAAACAATATATCATGGTTTCCACGGGTATTAAGCAGCACAACGTTTTTTAAAATTTATAATAAGAAGAAATAGTGAGCAGCAAATCAGCATATTAGAATGATTTCTGAAGAATCATGTGACACTGAAGACTGGAGTAATGGCTGCTTAAAATTCATTCTTTGTCATTTGACATTTTAAAATATATTCGAATAGAAACATTTTTAAAATTGCAATAATATTTTACAAGATTTTTGATCAAATAATTGCAGCCTTGGTGAGCATACCAGACCTTTATTTACCCCCATACTTTTGAACAACAACGTTTGTTTATTGCATAATAAATATTTTGAAGTTAGGTGTTTTGTTGCTTCATTTATTCTGAAATGTAATATTATGTAGAGAATCCTGTTTTAAAAATCATGCAAAATAAACAAGCCATATAACAGCACTATCAAACGCATTTTATTTGTATGTATAATGAAGGCAACTGTTACTATATGTGCTTATTCAGTGCAACCTGTACTGTTAAATATATATGTGACCCTGGACCACAAAACCAGCCATAAGGGTCAATTTATCGAAATTGAGATTTATACATCATCTGAAAGCTGAATAAATAAGCTTTCCATTGATGTATGGTTTGTTAGGATAGGACAATATTTGGCTGAGATATAACTATTTGAAAATCTGGAATCTGAGGGTGCAAAAAAATTAAAATATTGAGAAAATCGCCTTTAAAGTTGTCCAAATGAAGTTCTTAGCAAAACATATTACTAATCAAAAATTAAGTTTTAATATATTTACAGTAGTAAATTTACAAAATATCTTCATAGAACATGATCTTTACTTAATATCCTAATGATTTTGGCATAAAAGAAAAATCAATAATTTTGACCCATACAATGTATTTTTAGCTATTGCTACAAATATACCAGTGCGACTTAAGACTGGTTTTGTGGTCCAGGGTCACATATGTGGCAGTCTGAACAATTTGCTTTTTGCATGTGTGTATGTGGAACTTACTAGTTGAATGTAATTGATGCGTTTGAGTTTAAGCTGCTGTAAAGCATGTTTAGCCTCTAATATATATATAATAAATGGGTTGCAACATTAAATATATATATATAATTTAAAAAAACACAGAAATTAAAAAGAGATGTGGCCACTAAATAAAGTTACACTCTTAAAGATAAAGATTCCAAAAGTTTTTCAGCGATGTCATAAAAGAACCATTTCTGGTTCTTAAAAGAAACTTTAAAGAAAAAACTTTTTTTTTCCTAGTGTGAAGAACAGTTATTAATTATTAATAACCTTTTTCCACCATGAAGAACCTTTTGTCCTGTGGAAAGTTTCCATGGATGTTAAAGGATGCCAATAAAGAACCTTAAGATTTTTAAGAGTGCAGAAAACAAATGGGCAAAGGTCATTTGTCAGGAAAACACATTCTATTCTGAGTGGTCGATCGTGATTTCAGGCATCGCATAATGTTGAATAATGAGCTCATATCTGGAATACTTGATTCTGATTGCTTAGAATATTTCTGAATTTCTGCAACCTGCTTCTCAAAAAAATATTATTTTTGTGTTCCTATTTGCTCTAAAAACAAAAGAATTTTATTTGCCCCAAAACACCCACGCAGCAGGGTCATTTAAAAAAAGAAAGAAAAGAAAACAAATGTTAAACAGATAAATGTTAAATGTTAAACGTTCTGTACATTGCTATGCACATATGTATGTAAATACATATACTGTAATAGTACAGTTATAAAATAATTTCAACTCATCTGTATTTGATGTTCAAATAAACCCCTGTCTACACACCTGGACTGTTCCAAACAGTTCATCTTTCAGGTGACTTCCTCCAAACTCTTTTTTCAGTGTGGCACGGGTAGCAGCGTACACCATCTTTAACCTCACCTGTGTAGTGCGTGATAATCAAATACGGTTTTGATGATAATTCAATTTTAAACGATAATACTAACCGTCAGGGCATTTTATCGTGATTTATCGTGAAACCGGTAATCGTACCATCCCTAGTGCGGATTGAATGGGTATGGTCACATAGAAGGGTAACTGACAGAACTTTCAGCCAAAGGGGTTAAAGGGAACATTATTTATGGAATATGAGGGTGAGAGTTTGTATTGAGCGTACCCATTCAACTTTATCATGTGTTTCCTACTTACTGGTGACTGGTCTGGCGACCAGGAGATAAACAGCCACTCATATCCCAGCTGGTTCTGTGAGTCGAGGCGGTAAAGGATATAACAGGGTTCCAGACCGTCCAGCATGGGCAGGACACATGAGTCATAGTCCTGATCCCAGCTCTGAGACACCTCTCTGTACTCTCCCAACACCAGCTGTTCTGAAGCACACACAGACAGATACACACACATACACACCTCATAACGCACACCCTGACTACTTGCAGTAGCCCCAGATAAATGCACTGACTATCACTCTGGGTCCAAAAACAGCACGGTGCCATGTTATCATACACTAGCACTGCATGGATAACATTCCACAGTCCAATTTATCTCAACATTTACTTGACATTCTTTAGAGCCAACAAGTGACTGAAATATATTTGCTAAAGTAAACATATGTAGCCTTACATGGCAAAACATCAAAACAAGTGTAATTTATTTTACAAGATAGCAAAAGCACACTTTTAAGCAAAACATCTATATGTTTGTTAGGTTTTAAATGATAAAACAACATCTAAATGATGAAAGTGGTACCCCTATGATAAAGTACACTTAAATAAAATATACTTAAAAAATAAATAACATTCTTTAATGTGAACTGAATGTACTGTTTCTGGACACTTAATTGCATGTTAATTGCACTTAATGAAATGTATTATAATTTACATTTATATTAAATGCAATTAGTTGAACTTCAGAGTGCCTTTTGAGTAGGACTAAGTACATCTTTCCATGTAATTTCACAATTATTTTTTTTATTGTAGGCTACTTTTATTGCACTACAATTTAGTGTATGTAAAATAACACACTACAGGTACATTTTTAATCAAGTAGTCCACTTTACATGTGCTTTACGATGTTAGTCAACACATCAGAATACTGAAAGCATGACAAATTTCAAGAGACTTTCAAGAGATACTTTTAATTTGACATTACATGCACTTTTTTTAAAGTGTACCTAAGAGTGTTCCGAAACATGGTCCTAAAAGTGTACTCACTTTAAATACACTTAAGTGGCTATTTATTTCATTAATATTATCATTTTTAAAAACATAATCCTAAGATTTGAATTACACTACAAGTTTACATCTAATACAATCAAGTGCCGCTCTTTTTTGACTCAGAAATGTAATATTTAAGTATGACTTGAGTGTCCAAATACTTTTCTAAATGATATGACCAATATGTGATCTTCTAAGTAATAGTTTAGAACTTGGTTTACTCTACAGTAGGTATTATGTTATTACAAATTAATGTGAGGCCTGATTCATTAATTGGAAAGGGTAAATAGCAGTAAACTAATCAAAAGCACCATCAAATTTGTGCTCAAACAAAACCATGCTGTGGGTATTGAAATACTAATATTATACTACATATACAGATGGTCTCACAAACAAATGCTCCTACTCACCGCTCCTTATAACAATCTTCACCACTCTGACAGCGCCCCTCCTCGCCTTCACGAGGAACTCCTTCAAGTCGGGAGTTGCTGGTTTCAGTAGAGAAGAATACAACATATGACAATACAACAGAGACAGGATACAGTGAGTAAGCCTAAGAATTAGTTTATGCCACAAACCTTTAATCATCATAAGAATAGCGAGAGACGACCCCATTACATAGGCCTAGTATTTCATGTTATAAATTATAACAAGACCAAGAAAATTGACTGAAACAAAGGAAATTTTACACTGCTTCCACACTGCGGCCTGTGCCTCATTCTTGGCCTCACCATGGTAACATCAGGACTCATAAATGATGTAGGTGCAGGTGAGATGGATGAGGAACAGCGCTTCCGCCCGTAAGCTTAAATTACCTCCCATCATCATTCACATAAAACACAGCATAATATTATCTCTCTATTTGAAAAATATATATAGACCACTATACTGTAGAACCTAAAGTTTGTTTGCTAAAACCCAGAATTAAGCAGAGCTATCAATATTCCTTCTCAAAAATTTTATTTTTAGTAGTAACATTTTCTTTTTAAATAGATAGTTCCCTTTGCCCGTAGTTTAACACATTTGCACATAGACTCCATGCAATTCTGAAAAAGTTCAATGCCAGATTTTGATGCAAAAGTTTTTAATCTAGAGTTTTTACAGGTTTTATTCCAAAGTCCCTCTTTTTTTAAACTTTTTGCATATCTTCATAGTATCTTTTACACTTCTAACTCAAAATGCATGCTTTTCTTTCACTAAAAGAAGATAAAGAAAAAACATAAAGTGATTTATTCTAAATTGAAAATTTTATAAATCTATATGGGCTGCAGTGTAATGGTGCTTACCATGAATACCCGTCTGGTGCGACATCCCAAATCCCCTCGATGGTCCAGCTGTCCGAATTCCTGTTGAAACTCCCACGTTGTCCTCCTATTGTCTTCAGTGGCACTGCTATCTGTGCCCAGCAGTGTGGTCCAACTCACTTCCGTACAATGACATCAACGCCCCTTAAGCATCTTACCTGGGGAATCCTGTTTGAAACTTGATCTGCGGAGCTGAGGAAGATGTGTAGCCTAATATTACACCTGTCAAGGGATGGGTTCCAGCACACCACCTATCTAGTATTATTCGTCCATCACTGGTGGCCCTTATGGGGTATAAAGTGGCTGACAACATCCGATATCTGTGATGAGCTGAATGATGAAGCTCTAGTGTAGAATAAAAGGAAGTACCCGACTGAAAATGAGAGTCTGGACATTATCTGTCTGTCTCTGCTCTTCTACAAACAGTTATGCCACGCTCCATTTGTGAAAAGAAATGGCACATTATCACTCACAAACATCGAGGACCTGATAGGAGCATATAAAGCAGTGGCCTGTGGGAGCTCAAATTCCACCAGGCTGTCATGAGATACCATGCAGGCGGCTGCTGACCCCCAACCAGCAGGACAGGCGGTTCATTTAGACAGCCTAACCAGCTATCAAAAGACTATTTCAAACCGTAAACTCACTCTCTTGACCACACTTGAGATCTTGCCTGAGGTTTATGAGATTTGTTTTCAAGGAAATTATTGTGTTTCTAAAAAGTGTTTGAGGGCTTTTTATTTCATTAGAGCATAGAACAGACAAAAAGATGTAAATCTGATATTATGTATCTGTATAAAGACAGAAAGAGAGAGAACATACCTGTAAGTTTCTAGTGCTGGCTTCATGTTTAATTCACTCAGCTGTGAGCACAAACCCAGCCATTATTCATTATTCACGCGCAGCCCTCCCTTCAAAGATACACACATTCTCTGCACACATAGATTCTCTTTCTTCTTCTTCACACCACACATTTTTTTTTTTAAATATGTCATATAGTACTACAGACTTGTCCGTATGCATTTCTAGACAATATTTAGGAGGAATGTGCCCTCTTTTTTTTCAGACCCCTTTAAGAAAGCATGAATGATAACAAATGATTTGCTGTTGTTTGTATATACATTTTGTACGGCTGCAACCCTGTTGATCAACCTATTTACTGACAACTAGGTCCAAAGTCCATTTCAAAGTATATCTGAAGTCTTTACTAGAGCTGAACGTGTATTTAAAACCGGTTCCACGTTTTTATGGCTCTCGTGATGGTTCTTTTTAGTGAGTCAGAAACATACAATGTGCACATAGTCTAATTCTCTAACAAACGACTCTTTTCGTGAATTTCGTGAATCAAAACATTCTGTGAATGAAATATGTGAACATATTTTTGTTTGTTTTGTATTTTTATATTGAATATATTTATTTAATATCACTCTGCCCAGTGCCTTTTATTTTGAATTGCACTAAAATTACCTATTTTGGTAAAAAAGAAATAGCTCAAATAGCTCAAAAGCTACATTTGTTTGCAGATTGTTTAATATTTTATCTCAATGACATTCATACATTTTAAGTTCGTCCAAAATACTTATTGAGGTAGCTCATAGCCTATTTCTGACCAAACTGTCATATTCTGAATAATATTTTAGAATTTGGTCTACTCTACAATAAGTTTTTTTTAGCAAATTGATATGAGGGATGATTCATGAATTGAAAACGAATCAATTAATGAATCAAAAACGTACAGCGTGACCAGTGTAATTCGATTCTCGAACTAATCTATTGGTCTGATTTTGCTAAATGTAATATCACGCTGACCAATGACTTTTATTTTGAACTGGTGTTCATTCTCTGTTCATATATGTGTGTAAAAAAAAAAAAAAAAAAAGTAAATTCTTTTCAAAAGACCACCAGAGGGCTAATTTAGTCCATTTAAGTACATACCTGATAATATGAGTCTTACATGATTGCATAATACAGGTCTTTGGATATACTAACTTATTCATTTCCTTGTTCCATTCTCATAGATGTAGATGGCATCAGAAACAGCATAGTAGAATGTCTGCCTTTGCTAGCAAAGATAACTGATGGCATGCAGGCAGGAGCACAGTTGCACCTTTGTCATAGCTTGGAAAAAGAAAATACTGGAGCTTTGATCCTGGCTAAAACAGAGGAAGCCGCTGAACATGTCCAAACACTCATCAGATCACACAAAGTGGAAAGGAAATACTTGTAAGTTAAACTTCAAAACTTTAATTTGTTGCCTGTCTTCAGTTGGATGCAATTGATTTTGAAAGGGTAATTTATTTGTGGCATCCCATTAAGTTGTCTAGTGCAACATATTTTTTTTTGCTTATTGCTAACTGATTCTCTTGTAGCAGCATACAGTAACTTAAACATAATCCCACTTATTGTGTTCAGGGCAGTCACTGTAGGTGTGCCCGTTCCATCCGAGGGAGTGATTGACATTCCCATTATAGAGAAGGAGGTCACGGGACCTCAGCCGCATTTTAAGGTAACAGTATATTGTGTATATAAAAACCATCTCTTATTCTAACCTCTTTTTAAAAACCGTATAAAAAGAAAATTATTAAAATGCTCACCCTCAGGCCATCCAAGATGTAAATGAGTTTGTTTCTTCATCGTTCAACAGATTTAGAGAAATGTATTTATGCATTACATCACTTGCTCACCAGTAGATCCTCTTCAGTGAATGGGTGCCGTCAGAATGAGAGTCCAAACAGCTGATTAAAACATCACAGTAATCCACAAGACTCCCGTCCATCACTTAACATCTTGTAAAGTGAAAAGCTGCATGTTTGTAAGAAAGAAATCCATCATTGAGATGCTTTTAACTTCAAACAAGTCCTTAATCATATTGTTTTCTCCGTTGAAAAAGTTGTCTCATCTGACTCGGGAGAGAAGTATGCACAGATCAAACACTATTTACAAGTGAAAACAGTCCAAAACGGCTCTAAAAGGTCAACCGAGGATGGACTATTTTCCTGGAGGAAGTGTTATTATGGATCATAGACTTTTGACCAGAGGTGTCAGTTTTACTTTAAAACACCTCACAAACACACAGCTTTTCACTTTACATAAGGTTGGGAAGGGAGTAATGTGGATTATTTATGGATTATTGTGATGTTTTTATCAGCCAATTGGACGCTCATTCTGACGGCGCCCATTCACTGCAGAGCATCCATTGGTGAGCATGAATTGTTCACAATAAGATAAGTATAATGCATTTAGAAAACCGATTTTTTAAGAATTCTCCTCCAGTTTTCTTACTTTACTAGAATTAAAGTATGTATGTATGTTTATTCTGCTCAGATGGGTCTGAGCCCATTGTTCAAAGTGAGTGAGGAGGGAGATGGAGTGACCAGGGTAAGAGCTCATCGACAGGCACACAGTGCAGTCACGCAGTATCGGGTTCTGGACAGCACCAGTGGCTGCAGTTTGGTGGAACTGCAGCCTGTCACAGGTATTGACTGACCATGACATGTGAAAACCGTACCTGACTCCTAACTGCCCTATATTCGCTAATTATTGTAAATGTTGCTAGGTTTACCCATATATAATGTAACATCGTGTTTTGATTTATGTAAAAGAAGACATTTAAGCATATGATGACCAGAACCAATGTGTGTTTTAGGTGTGAAAAACCAACTTCGCGTGCACATGGCTCTTGCTTTGACCTGCCCCATTCTTGGAGACCACAAATATGCTCACTGGAACAAACTAGCACCACAGGTATAATAAATACAACAAGTGTTGTAGCATTGGTTCCTTGAAATATGAAGCTATGCTGCCATTCAAAAGATTTTTTTAATGTTTTCGAAAGAAGTCTCTTATTCTCACCAAAAAGATTCAGATACACAACCTATTCAAGTCTAGGTCCAGTTTTACTACAGTATTTGTTTAGTCTATGAACATAGTAAGTGTTGTGTTGATAATGAATAATCAAGAGGTGGTGTAGTGTTTTCTTGAGACATGACTCATTGTCACGTTTGAAGACTGACCACACGCGGGTCTCACATTTCGGATTACAGAAGCTGCCAGAGGGCATACTGCGACGGCTGGGCCTGGTGCAGAGTAAAACACGATACCTCCCTCTTCACCTGCACTCCCGAAGGATCATCCTGCCAGGGGTCAAAGGTCACAGTGACATCACCGTGTCCTGTCCCCTTCCTAAATACTTCACCAACACCTTAAAGAGATTACAGATCCCACTACCGGGAAAAGAATGAGATGGATCACAGCTAGCAACTCCATTTGAAAAAGTATTACATTTGTATTGAGAGGAGGAAGTGGGGTGGATTTGACTTTGACTGTAGAAAAGATCATGTACAAAGCGGACATTACATTGTTGTGTATTCTGAATGTTTTTTTGTCCAGACTTTGTAATAAAAGACCATTGAAAGCGTTTTATGAAGAAAAATTATATCTCTGCTTCACCTGTGAATTACGTAATGACTGCAAATTAGGGATCCACAATATACATGTACCATATAATTTATCAGCCAACATTAGATTTTTTAAATAATCATTATTGGTTGATGTTGTACATTTACTTGTGCATACACATTTGCCCTATTTTTACATTTATATCACCATCTTCTAAAACAAATTTTGAATATCCTGTTTTCATACTTTTTATTGTAATGTTGAGATGCCTAAATTCACATATAGCATCTAAAGCAGTGGTAATCAACAATAAAAGGCTCAATGACTTTTCCAGTTGTCTGTGATTTTCTGCATAAAGATTAAGGATAAGAATTAAAAAATTTGTTTAATTTCTAACCGATAAAAACAGGTCTAGAAATAGTACTTTAAAAAATCTGGCTACAGGGTTTTAGATAGTGGGAATCCAAAACTGTTTTTGAGGGGACAAATTAAAATAAATATCTTTTAGTGATTTAATGCATGTTTTGTCTTTTTAAATTAATCACTTGGAGGTTTGCTGGTGGAGAACCTTCATTTATTTTATTTATTTAGGGGAAAAAAATTAGTATAGCATTTTAATAACATGAAAATTCTCATTGGCTAGAATTTTAATAACAGCATATCCCTTGTGCAAATTCTTTACTAAATAATTGTGTGAATTGTTGCATTCAATTCAATAATGCATGTAATAATAGTTTTGTGAACTACTTATGCAGAAATTTATTCTGTTTCTGTCATGAGGCCCACTTGTGCTTGTGTGACAGAACTGACCAGGGACTGCAAAAAGGGTCAAAGACGACACATACAGGTAATTCACTGTACAAAAAGGCATGTTTGAAAACACAGGCTTCAATTCTCCAGCACCACTATCACATTAATACATATCAGGTTACCATAGATGCATGTATGTATGTATATATATATATATATATATATATATATATATATAAAAAATAAAAACAGAACTAAAGTGTCTTCATGTATAATACACTCCTCAGGTACGTGAACTCTGCTACTGCAAGCTCCAGGGGGTGAGCAGGGGTTGTGTTAAGTGTTAAGGATGGATGAAGCCATGTTTTTAAATGTGTTTACACCTGACCATCACATGGTGTTCCAGTCCACTGCCAATAATCACTTAAGTTTAGTTTGCAGTCTTAAAAACCACCAGATCCTTACAGTTCTGCACTTAAAGAAAATAAACAAGAGGACAGTGGGAAGAAGGATGGAGCGTAACATACATGGCAGAAAGAGAAAATGCACACATCAAGGGATCTGGGCAAATACGTTTCAGTGGTCATTAGAGGAACAAACTGAAATAGTTCCTGTATCTAAAACAAAAAAAGGCTTGTATGCATGTCCAGTTCACTGAAAACCCCTCTTGAACCTCTTCGCTCGCCTTTAAATCATGGGTGAAATATAAGGAGACACTGCAGAGGCTATTTGATTCAGTCTCTTGAGAAAGGAGAGGATGATGGCATGATGAGCGCTGGAGAATGCCTCTCTCTTATTCCATCTTGCTTTCTTTTGCTTGCCCTCGTCTTTTCTCAGTGTACGTTGGCCTGTGCGATGGAGATTATCTCCTGGATTTCCCGCACCATCATGATGCGTGTTAGCATGTGCTCCAGCTGCTCGCTCGTGATTGGCTGAGTGGAGTACCAAATAGGGCTGTTGGGAGCCACAACAGGCTCTGGCGTCAGGTAATAGGTGTCATTACGACCCTTTGCAGTCTGAGGGCTGAGGACAGACAAAAAAATGAGGAAGATACAGAAAAGGTACGTTTTATTTATAATACATTTTTTTAAATTGCGCCAGCTATTGCATTAGCATATGATAAAATCAGTGGCTCACCATTTGAAGAGGTAAAAGTCATAGAGCTTGATAGGACAACGCAGCGGGTTCTCTGGGTCCTCCGCCTGCTCTGCGTACATGTCATCTGTCACTAGAACAATAATAGATGTGATTTATGACTTCCCACAGTTTTTGACCAATGCACTTATGACTTTCTATAACTCTTCCATTCATTTGTTAATGGCAAAATCACAATAATAGAACACACACACACAAAAACGATTTCTGACTATTATTATTCACTGTAGAAGTTTCCATGGCCAGGACTACAAAAAAATTTTTGTTTCACAAATAGTTTGTGATTTAATTGAATATGCAATTTAGTGTCTCATTTGGTAGAAATATTGTCAAATTTCCAGTATTACATCCGGTTACTCTAGATATAGCTATTGCATTGGCTGAAATCCCAAATTGGTTGATCACTGATAACTGTATAACTTTGGAAATGTTTCAACATCAAGCAGCTCAACATTTTTCAACACTGATAATAATTGTTATTACAGAAGGATCATGGGACACTGAAAATTGGAGTAATGGCCGCTGAAAATTAATAATAAATTACTTTTTAATGTATATCAAAAAAGAAAACAGTTATCTTAAATGTATAATAATATTTAAAATGATTGCCATTTGAACTTTAAAAAAAAAAAAATTTTATACATGTATAAATGCGGCTTTGGAGAGCAACAATAAAATTATACTGACCCCAAACTTTTGAAAGGTTGTTTACACTATACACAAGGGTAAAATTTATATTTGTCTTGTAACATTTGAAAACATCCAGCCTTCTTTTGTGGCTGCCTCCTAACCTTTCTGTCCAACATGGTGTGGCCCGACTCCTTTCAGGTAGCGGATGCTGGTGCTCTTGTCTTTAGGGTTGCTGGGATTCTTTTTGGTGTGTCTGAGCACTTTGGAGAAGGCCACTTTCATATGCTGCTCCACTGTGGTCAAGTGGAAGAACCTGTGCAGAGACACAACACTATAACTGCTGAGCACTCACTGCCATCATTTTTGAAGAGAAGGAGACTCACTTGGTGTTGAAGTACATCAGTGTAGTAAGGAGAGTGGATGGAGAATGAGCTCCCAGCTGCTTGCACTCCCACAGCATCTCCTCTGTCACATGACTTGGGATAATGTAGCCTGGCAAATACAAAGGCAATTAACATACATTTTCCAAAACTCATTTAAAAGCACACACAAACATCTTACCAAGAGGGTGAACACTGGGCCTCCACTCTTCAAGAATTTTGTGTAAACACTGACAAAACCGGCTGTAGTACTGATCAGAGAAGATGTCGTCTACTCTGCCGTTCTCAAACATGTACTGTACAAAACAAAAAAAGAGAAGGAAATCAGCTTATGCAAACTAATGATCCAACATAATCAGCAGAAACAAAAATATGAAGACATACTTTCTGTATACATAAAAATACATAGTATAGTGAATCAGGTTCAAATGGCTCCCCCTCCAGCCCACGAGCCTCTTGGGTCATCAAAGACAGAGCCAAGTTCAGCTCGCCCACTGAACTTGACACAAGATCATCCTGGAAGCGCAGGGGCTGTCGACCTGCAGACACAGACATTCATCTTGCTGCAAATAAACATCACTAGATGCTTAACAGAAACAGTTCACAGTTTTGACCATGCATTATATATGGTTAAGGGACCTTTTAAGACCTAACTAAAATGAAAAATTTAAGCAATTTTGCAAAATAAATAAATAAACCATATACACTACTGTTAGAAAGTTTTGGGGTGGGAAGTTTTGTGTTTTTGAAATAAATCTCCTTTTCTCCCCAAAGGTTGCATTTATTTGATAGCAACATTTTGAAATATTATTACAACTTTAAAAAACGTCTGTTTTATTATAATTTAATCTTCCTGATTATTAATTTCTTAAACTTTCTTTTAAAAAAAACTGACCACAAATATTTGAAAAAAAACAACAACTTGAAGACATGTTTTCTACTTACAGTTTTTAGCTGAATAAATACATGAATTGCATTTTTCGTTTGTACATGTGGCAAACAACATAAGTCTACTCTTTCTATACTATTCAAGATATTTAAAGAAAGAACTGTATGATTGAACTATTGATAACAATTTTATAGTACCAACTACTGACCCAATTCTGTATCCAAGTGCTGATTGGTAGCTGCTTTAATGCTTACATGCGTGTGTGCACACGATTACGAAACGCATTAAGGCACACAGATACTATTTAAACTGAACTGAGCTGGATGATGACATCACTGAATTCAATGATGAACTGCCTTTAACTGAAAAATGAGTGTTTACTATTGTCATTTTGCATTATTGACACTATTTTTCTAATTAATGCTGTACAGTTGCTTTGACACAATCTGTATAGTTAAAAGCACTATATAAATAAAGGAGACTTGACTATTGCTTTTGTTTATAGCGACATGTTAAAGTGGATCTATTATGCAAAATTCACTTTTGTATTGTTTTCGAACATAATTATGTGTCAGCAATGTGTGTAAACAACCACCCTATTGTGATAAAAAAAATAGCGAGTTTATGTATTTTTGACATAACCTTAAGATGTGAAATAAGACGTGAAATAAGATGTGAAAGGGGACTCCCGCGACATGCCATCTGACAGCCAGCTTTCTGTGCAAGTGTGCTCAGAAAACCATATATCAGAAGTTTAAACTTAAATGACTTTAAAACGCGTGCAAATAATAAATTTATATGATGTCAAAGAACGTGAACATAATAGATATGATAATCATGACCAAACATATGTTTTGTATTGGCAGAGTATGCGAGGCAGGAGCTGTAAAGGCACAGCCTGTAAATGCAGCAAGCAGCAGCTCATTTGCATTTAAAGATACATACACAAAAAGAGCATGTTTTTGCTTCCTTTTAAAAATGGTATTTTTCAGCATGGAATGATAAATGATCTGTGGGGTATTTTGAGCTAAAACTTCAAAGACGCATCGGACATCTTGGGACATCTGAGACTTTACATCTCGTGAAAGGGGCACAATAGGTCCTCTTTAAAAATTGCATTAAATCACTGCATGTGTTCCAAAGCTGTGGTATCAAATATGGAATCAAGAATCATAAAATGTCACTCATATTGCTATTGCCTACTGAAACTAAAATCTAGTAACAATCCTAAATTCAGCGGCGGTATAAAGACAGAGGTAGCGATGAAAACATTAACTCACGTCCTATCGGTGCCAGCTTATTTTGTTCATTCTTGTCCAGCTCAGCATTTTTGCGCTGAACCCACAGCCTCCACACATCCAGCCCTTCCTCAGGCTTCAGCGTGTTGGGGAGGACCAGCTCTGGAGGAGGTTCTACCTGTGGTTCTGCCTCTGTCTGCACCTAAAAACACAGAAAACCATCATTGCCACATTGTTTTGATATGTATAAGTGATCCTTCACAGTTAAATGCACATCACCCACTGAAGAAAT